ATACTACAGTCAAACCCCGTTATAGTGAACTCCCGGATAGAGTGATCAAAAGGTTCGCTCTCGTGTCTTGCTATACACGCATAATGTTATTTTTTGTGGATACAAAGAACCAAAAGAAGAGAGGAAATTGGACAGTATGAACTTTTTTTCTGTCCTCGACTGATTTTTCATCTTCATTCTTTGGTTATTTTGAAATTTCTACATTAAATACTTATACCGATTTTTAAAACCGTCTATTGAATGGAATGTAGCCATAAGCATTTTTTTGTTTGCTTCTTCTATCTCAGTTTCCCATCCTTAAATGTTTTGTACGCAATATGAAGAGTCGTAAAAAATAAAAGTGAACACGTTTTTTGTTGCTACATCTATTTGTTTTTTCAATCTGTTTTGTATTTCCTTTTATGGGTCATTCATTTAAATGATGTGTCACATAAAAGGGCGGAAAAATGAGTTAAAATTGTTTGCAGCACGGATAGAGTGAATTCCCGGTTATAGTGAACCGATATTTCGGTCCCTCGAAGGTTCACTATAGCGGGGTTTGACATCTTTTAAGGGGAAAATAACATATAAACTTTATAAAATAACTGATCGGTATCCTACAGCATCCCATGAGTAGAACAACGCCTCGGTTTTGAATGCCGGTCGCAGGCTACGAATAACAAACAGGTGCATTTACGGTTTTCAAGCTCCATTTACCTAAGCTTAACGTTATGCTCTTGAAAAGCACCCCTTACATTACAGTTATAAAAATTATTCTAGTTTATTATACGTTTGCTAGCGATTCTTACTCTAATGAAGTGTAAGGATTTAGTCCGATATGTATTCACAGTTCTGTTTCATTTCGATAACCGCCACCCATGATGTGTGTCTATGATGGACTATCGAAAGTTGCAGTGAAACGGAAGGGATTCATTCAACACTGGGCAAAGGTTATACGGGGCCCTAGAACACAATGTATGGCGGGACCTATTCACAAACAACAAAAAGTATATTTTGTAAAATTTTTGAACAGCCTTTATACAAAATTGTAGTTTTTATAGGGATGGAAAGAACTTCCATTTTCTTTTGAAACAATAATTTATAAACTGCATACTTTGTAAGGCCCTCCCCTGAATACTGCCTTAACTACCTCACATGTAAATGACGTGCATAATTATCTTAAATTGTCGATAGAAATATCTGTCACTGAAATTCTCTAAGAGTTAAAAACATGTGTTCCCGTTATTACCATCCATTTGATTTTTTAATCTAGAAAAAGAAAGCCATTTATATAAAAGAAAAGTAAGACTGAACTATATAACTTTTCCAGAATGATGTATATTATACAAATGAACTTCTTGGTTAAATCTAACATTAAATTCTTTGGGTCAAACGGTCTAACATCTGAGGTATTACCCCATCTTTACATATATACTAAAATTGTTTTCATAATCGATTCATTCTTTGTGTTATACAAAAAATGTCTCATTTTAAATTAAATAAAAAATAAGCCATGCATATTTTTTTTAAAAAGAGAAAAAAAAATGAAGTTTAGATTGTTTCCGCTATAATTATAATTTAAGACTGAAGGGGGGGGGGAGCAATTGGGCAAAATTTTGCATCCAGTAAAATTGAAAACTTATCATCGTATTCTCTTTTTCCGGCATTTCTTGCAAAACCTTATTTATTTATTTATTTTTTATGTATCCGTCGTTAAACAGTCGACCCAATTTTTTGTTTACGACTAAAACTACGTTCAACTCTGTAGCCTTGCCATTTTAAACCCATCCAGAAGACAAGGAAACTCCTGGACCCTCAGAGGTATTCATTTGTTATGGGCATGGAGGACTTTGCGACTCGACAGAAGTAGTAACGTGCATCAATCACCATTTACTATATGGGGAGTCTTCGACCTGCGGGGATCGAATCCACGAACTTTTGGACATGGGCCCAGTGCCCTACCCACGAGGCTATCCCGGCCTTGCAAAGCATTTTTTGGGTAGTCTTTGTAGGATAGTTTTTAAAAAAGGAGACAACACAAAGTGATTTTTTCCAAACGCCAGTGAAATGATGTGTCTTTTTTCTTTTTACTATGCAAATTAAGTAATATTATTTGCTTCCAATATTATTCATGTATCAGTAATATATCAGCCTCCGATATATCAGCAATACTATTTGCTTTCCGTCAGTGTAAACGTAATGAAACAAAACGTACTGACAAATTCTGCTGCACCCGACTTTTCTCGGGAAAATCAGTGAAGGTGTTAAAAATTCTTTGAACCCCCTTCCCTGAAACCCTTTTTCAAGCTCAAAACAAAATACCTTTGAGCCATATGTCATGCTAAAGTGGAAGACATTCTATTTTCAGTGCATAAATGTGCATTCAAAATGAGACAAAGATTTAATGAGCGTGGAGGAAATGAATAACGAAAGGTAAAAACATTTGTAAAACTCACAAATGATTTTTTAAATCTAAATCTTGAATGCCTCCTTAACTATTTGCCACATGGTGAACATGATTGAATTTTCTGTGAAATACAGTCCCTGGCCAAATGATGAGACGCCCTGTGAGTTTTTTTTTGTCAAATTATAATCATTAGGTGATACTATACAGCTGTATTGCTTTTATGTCACTGAAACCGGTTTGCACTTGCTTACTTTCGTGCATCAATGGGCTAACATTGTAATACAATACGCTAAAAATAAATGCAAATAAGAAGTCTATAAAAAATCTCCCTAATAAAAACCCATTACATGCATGTTTAAATATAAAAATATTGCCTATTAACTCGTGCAAATCATGTCATTATTGCGTCTAATAATTTCATCTAATTACTATAATATACTATTAAATATTCTATATTTATTGTGTAATATATCGTGTAATATATTCTATCGTCAAATTTATATTATGTATCGTCAACTTTAACCCACTGATACACGAACGTAAACAAGTACAAACCGGTTTCAGTCAATTAAAAAGCTGTATAGTATCACCTTAATATTAAGGTTTTACACAGAATCTTATAAAGTTCGTCTAATAATTTGGTCAGTTATTTTGCCACTTCCATTTGTCATCTCCCTTTTCAACTTGAAATTTTATGTCCTATCTAGTTTAAAAATATACAGTGGAGCATCGTTTATACGACGATCACTTATACGACGTTTACATTTATACGACGTTTTAGTGTGGTCCCAAATCATTCCTATTCATTTTAATGTAAAAATATATCGTTTATACGACGCACAGAATCGGTTATACGTCGATTTTTAGATTTTGTTCACGTTTATTTAATTTTTTATTTTTTCTTGTGTATTTTAAAAAAGGGCGGAATTTGCCAACATGAATGATACAGAAAAGGGTGCTAACAAGAATGCTTGGATGACGACCGTAATTTTTACTAGATGACTGAAAAAACTAGACAATGTTATGAAGAGGCAAAAACGAAAAATTTTGCTATTCATCGACCAATGTCCAGCTCACCCATCGATACTAATTATTTTGGAAAATGTAAAAGCTCTCTTTTTTCCTGCAAATTGCACAAGTGCGCTTCAGCCATTAGATTTGGCCGTGATTAGAAATCTAAAATTGCATCATAGAAAGCAGTAAGTTCAACTCGCTATTCAAAGCATTGTAGAGACTAATAGCAAGAAAATATAATTAAAGGTAACATACATTCAAATTGCTCACTGCAATTTTTCTTCTTTGGTTATTTGTTTGTTTTGCTTTGTCTAATTTAGAAATTTATGTAAATCAACACGTTAAACATTAAAATTAACTGAAAACAGAGTTAGTTTCAGTTTTAGAAGTAAAAATCGATTATACGACGTTATCGTTTATACGACGTTTTTCGGTGGTCCCTTCGGCGTCGTATAAACGATGCTCCACGTATATATTATTTATAATTTCTTACTTTAACTGTTCGACTGTACGCAATTTTCTCGTTTCCTAAAAAATGAATTCCTTCCGAGAGGCCAAAAATACCTTTTATCTTTTGGCAAAGGAAGTTTCAATTATAAAAGCCGATAGTATTGTCTACAAAATCAGTTTTTCAGCAAATATTCCTTCGAATTTTAGAACGGCAATGGTCCCTTTTTTAATTTGAAAAAATGTGTGTTTTGTTTTCTAATTTTAATGCTCTGAGGCTCATATTATTATTATTTTCTTTTTTCGAACTGAAACTTTTAAAATATTAGGGCTATAGCAACCTTTTTCTTAATAAAGTTTTGTTCTGCATTTTCTTTACATTTTATTTTCTGTTTTTTGCTCGATATGTTTTATTTCGTATATATTTTTTACTTCATGTGTTCGATTTTCGCTTCAGTTTTTTTATGTGCTCCTCACACTATTGTATTGATGCTCTATTTGATACACTATTAGAGAGCACTTCCTTTTTGTGCGGATATAATGAGCTGATGAAGAGATTATATCTTTTCATTACCTTGCTTTCCTACTTTTTAATAGTTTTTCTTTTAAGTAAATAAATTTTAAAAAATGTAAATGTTTTTAAAAATACTTCTTCTCTTTTCATTATTCTTGATGAAACAGTCCCAGGCTGAAGTATGAGACGCACTCTAAGATTCTATGTAAAATCTTAATGATCATGTAATACTATACAACTTTATTGTTTTTATGTGACTGTTTGCACTCGTTTACGTTCGTGTATCCATGGGTTAAATGATACGATGTCAATTTGATGATAAGATACACTAGACGACATATTATATAAATATCGAATATTTATTATATCAAGCATTACACTATTAGTATACGCACTGTAGTTTTTTGATAATGACATGTTTTGCACTAGTATATACGCAATATTTAAACATACGAGTAATGGGTTTTTATTCAGGACTTCCTATTTGCATTTACGTATAGCATGACAATGTTAACCCAATGAGCGTAAACAAATGCATCGGAGTAGAAACAATACCTGATAATTAAGATTTTACATAGCTGAGATAACTGCCTTGTATAACTTCTTGGAGAGTAAAAAGGATGTGAAATGTAATTGCAGATGATTTGAGTTCCATCCGGAGGTATCGTACAGCCTTCACCCGAGAGCAGCTGGCGAGACTTGAGAAAGAGTTCTGCCGAGAAAACTACGTCTCGAGGCCGCGGAGGTGTGAACTAGCCTCCGCTCTCAACCTGCCGGAGTCCACCATTAAGGTATTTCATTTCAATATATTTCTTCATCCCATACATTTTTTTGTTTGTTATCTTCATTACTATAGTGAGTTCGTTAATAATAAGCAAATTATTCATCAGCATTATACAAGAAATGTGGAAGCGGCGATTCATTGTTTTCTAGTGTTCGCACCATAGAGTTGATCTCAATAATATTGGGTTCTATAAAATGATCCATATTAAAAATATCGTTCGAAAAATTCATTTTTAGTTCATTGTGACGCAATCCATTCAAAACAGTCTCTTGAACTCTTAATGAATCATTCATAGTTTTATCTTCGGTGCATATCGTGATAAATGTTTATCAGGCTTTTCAATTTTTTTATAAAAATACAAGATGCAAGCGGGGGGAAAAAAAAAGAGAGTTACATTCCATAGTTTTAGTTTTTTAACAGTCTTTTAAAAAAATTATGTAACGTAAATACTTTACTGTCTAACAAACAAAAGCAACACCTGGAAATAGTAATACACCATTAAAAGTGATTTTCTTAGTAAATATTTCAAGTGTATCACCTATATTGAATCCAGTATATTATTGGAATAACCTATAAATGAAGCACACATAATGAAACTGATGAATCATTCGCTTTTTGTTTTGTTTAGAGGATATTCTCTAAAATGCATGACGCAACTATTAAATTAAGAGGAATAAAAAAAAAGAAGAAGAAGATGCGTAGCAACGTAAGTGCAAGCTTGGGTTGGATGCAAAAATTTAAATCTCTTATGCAGCACCCCATTTAAAAAACATTCCTTACTCAATCAAATCAAAGCGTGTTATAAACTATGTCTGAGGTCGAAACGAAATAAAAAAAACTTCAAGACCACTATAGTATTTTGGGGTCTTTGTTAAGCTGGATGACTGAATCAAAAAATATTGTGTTTATGGATGTTTCTTCAAAAGAGTTTTTCATATTCTAATTTTATATTTTATTATTATGTTGAACAGCTGACAAAACTTTTGGGTTTACAACTACTAATGTTCAACTACGTAACCTTGTCATTTTGAATCCAATCGAGAAGACAAGGGAACTGCTGAATCAAGTATTGGGGAAATTTGACTTGATGGAGGATTTTTTGATGGAACTAACCCGCATTTGCGTTGCATGGAGAGGAAGACCACAAGAACCTCCCACGGTTAGCCCAACGGCAAGGGGACTCTCCCCCATGATCCGCCCACCACTGAGGATATTTTACGTCGGCACTGTGGTCGGTGCAAGCCGGATGCGGAATTCGTATCGACTGGGATTCGAATCCGTTCACCTCATTGGAAGGCGAACCCTTCTATCCCCTGAGCCATCGTGTCTCATATTTTTATATTTGAATTAAAAAAAAAAAACAGTAGGTCTTTAAGAAATGAGTCTTTTTGAGCTTTGAAACCCGCCCTAAATTTTGTCTTGAGATCCCTTTATTGAGCCATCTTCTTCCTTCGCTTCCTTTCATGCACATCAAGGGGGGGAGGGTACACGGTTTTTTATGAGCAGTCGAACACTACTTATCGGTCCTTATTGTTTGTTAATAATTTTTATAACTATAATGACCAGTAAATTAAGGATTAAAAGCAAGAAAACAATAGAACATACTTATCAACATGGATTCCGTGAACCAATCGGGTCGCTCCTTGTTCTTGACTGCTGAAGAGTAATTCAAAGTTTATCCGCTAGAAAACGGAAATAATTTCGCCAAAATCAAGATATCCGTTTCTCTCCACCCTCCCCTATATATATATA